CCGTCCTGGGGACAGCTGTTAGTGCCTTCCTGAATGAATATAGTTACCGTGGTTACTGTGCAAGGTACATTGGGTTTTTTTATGGCCTGGAGCAAGCAGTGAACTGCTTGAAAAATGGTCACTTTCCTGCAGTGCCTTTGAGCCAAAATAATTGTCTTAGATTTAGGCCTGAGCAGCTTTTTTATGCTCATAGGATGTGTGACAAGACCACAACTGGGTAAGAGCCCCATAGGAGGCAGGGACTGTGAGTCCCTGTAAGCTTCTGGCCACCAGCCATGTGACAGCCTAGAAGAGGGCCAGTTTTTTCCTTTGTGGATAACTGCTGGATAAGTGGCTGAGAACCAAGCAGAAAGAGCAGTCAGTACAAAGGAGACAGTAGAAAGCCCAGCTAGCTACCTGCTTATGAGTTCCCTGGCTGGGATGGTATGCTGGCTTGTGAGGAAGCTAGCTAGCTGCTTGTGTGAGAGAGACCGGGTGACCTCAGGTGACAATAGAGTGTTGGGGGGGGAGAGTGATTTTAATGTGCTTCTTTTAGATGGTCAACTGCCACTAGCCTGGTTATCTTTTACCATGTTTATTATATAGAATTCTGTGAAAATTGTTTGGGTAAAGAGAGCTTGTAACTTTCCCTTCTCCAAGCAGCCTTGTGTGTGATTTTCTTGAAAACTGAATATTGCTTCTCAGTTGTTTAAAAATAGAACGTGAAATGTGAATCAAAATTCATAGCATTCATTTGTCACTATTTAAGGGCTCTATGGTAGAGTGTGTCTAGATTTCTGCTGAACAAATTAAATGTTTCTAGTGGACGTTTGAAACAGGAAGATGTGAAGAAGGAACAACTGCTCTCCTTTGTGTAGACCAGTGCTAGTACCCAATGGACTGCTCATGATGGCCCCGTGAATGAGACACAGCATTCCAGAGTATATATGTATTTTTCCTTTAAAACAAAACAAAACTTCACAAAAAAAACAAAATAGGGATTCAAACATGCAAATACAATGGCTGAGAACAGGGCAGAAGGAGCAGTCAGTCCAAAGGAGACAGTAGAAAGCCCAGCTAACCACTTACTTATGAGTTCCCTGGCTGGGAACTCTCCTTGTAGTCCCAACTGGCCTGGGCTCACTAGGGAGACCACCCAGTCTCACAGAGATCCGCCTGCCTGTGCCTCTGCTTTCCAAATGCTGGCATTAAAGGCTTGGGCCACTACTTCTGGCTTGTTCGCTTTAAATATAAAGTATTTGCTTTTTGGCATTTCTTATTTTTTTATTTGACCTTTTTTAACTTCTTTTAAAATTTTTTTTATTTTATGTGTATGAGTGTTATGCCTGAATGTATGTAAGTGCACCTGTGTCATACAGTGCCCATGGAGGACAGAAGTGTCCCTTGGAACTGGAGAAATGGTTGGTTATTAGCCACCATGTGGGTGCTGGAATTTGAATCCTGGTCTTCTGCAAGAGTAGCCAGTGCTTTTAACCACTGAGCCATCTCTCCAGCCTTCCTTTTTAACTGTGTGTGTGTGTGTGTGTGTGTGTGTGTGTGTGTGTGTGTGTGTGGGCATGTGTGCAAACTACATTGTGCTTGTGGAGAACAGAGAACAACTTACAGGAGTAGGTTTTCCCCTTCCACCTTGTGGGTTCTGGGGATCAGACTCCTGTGGGCAGGCTTGGCCACAAACACCTTTTCCCAGTGAGCCATCTCGCCAGCCCTACTTGACATTTCTTTTTGCTGTTACTCTTGTTTTGGTGGGGGAGCTGGAAGATTTTAATCTGTCTGAGGCTCTTAGTCAGGAGGTGGCTCTAGTTTTGACCTGTCTGCTAAGTGAGACCCATTGTTTCTATTAAGCAGTGAATGGAACTATGAATCCTTACAGTCTTGACCCTGACTTCATACTTCTTTACACAAAACTCTCTGGAGTAAGGTCTTTGTCCGTACAACCCACTTGTGAGTTTGGGCCTTCTTACCCAGTCCTAGCTGATGGCATCTACAGCTGCTTCCTGTTACTGACTACACTCTCCCTAGCTCCCTCTCAAACCTCCTGCTCCAGCTCATGGTTTTCTTCAGATTGAACATTCTCTGTTCACCCTTGTGTAAGAGGAAGGTGCAGGATCTTGGGAGGGGGTATTCTGGGGCTATCACACTATAGAGATAGTTTTGCTAGTAAAAACTGTGATTAATACTTAAAACTTTCAGTCAGCCAGTCAGTAGTACAAGATCCTGCTAGATCTTCTTCCCCCATGTAAACAGAGAGCAAGAGAGAAATCAGTGGCATGTGCCTGCTGTGCCGATTTCGAACGACTCTACCAGGCAGGCACCTTGATGTTTTGGGTGACAGAGATAACATGCATAGCTGGATTTCACCACAGTGAATTCTGTTGATATTTCCTCCTCTTTTTATGACACCATGCCTTCCACATTACCTGCTTTGTGTTTAAAGTAGGCCTCTAGTGGAGGTATCCACTCTAACCATTCCACACAGTTAACACACCTCACAGTTCTGACCTCTTATAGTTCTGGGCCTGCTAAGTATTGAATTTCTCCCACCAAGTAGCGTAGCAATGGAGCTTTTATTGGCATTTTTCCCATCTGCATATGAAGAAGCCACATAGTTCACATTATTAAATCAAAGACTTAGCTCTTGAATAATAAAATATGATGTGACTGAATCCCAAGAACATATAGGTAGCCTGGCACAGTGGGTGGCTAATGGTGTCTCTGAGGTTGGAATTTAAGTCCTGGTCCCTCTGCTCACTGGCACTGTATCTTATCATCATGGAGCTTGGGATTCTCCTGTAGAGTGAGCAGAAGAGTTAGAGGGGGGATTGTCTGGCTTGCATTTCTACTTCTCCCCTTTGTGGAGGACCCTGAAGATCTGGGAAGTAAGCCCAAGGCCTTCTGAAGGGACCAAGACAAGAGCTTGACCTTCACAGCAGGCAAGGTCAAATGGAAAAGAGGAACCAGTCAGGAAAAGGTCTAGAAAGAACTCCATAGAGAGAGAGCCTCAAACACTGATGGACAGGAAGCTTGACAGCAACACAGGAATGATACACATGAATGGGAAATGGAATCCAAAAGATGGAGAGTTCTTGGCTCTCAGCATGAGATGTTGGGAGTGAGAGGATGGGTGCTCTGGTGGTGGGGAGAATGGAGCAGAAAGAAGGGACATTTCCAAGAAAAATGAGCAAGATTTTGTGGAGGATGAAGAACATTGCTAGGATTTTAGCTAGTGATCACCATGCCACATAGTCATTCTCACGTTGCTGAAATAAAAAACCTACTGTGTGTATCTCTTCAGAAAATGGGGCAACCACTTAAAAACACAAGTTGTCTTTCAAAACCTACTTTCTAGCCAAGCCTGGTGGTGCAGGCTTGTAATCTCAGCTACTTAGCAGGCTGTGGCAGGTGAATCCTAAGTGCAGGGACAGCCTGATAACTTAGTAAGACCCTGTTTCAAAAATAAAAAGTAAAAAAGAGGACTGGCTTAATGGCTGAGGGCCTGCCTAGCATGCACACAACTGAGTTTAGTCCCCACTACTGCAAAGACAGACCATCAACGAAAAGAAATTACTTTTAGGTGGTGAGAAGGTTAAAAATTTAGCTGTTGAGATGCTGTCACAAGCTGGCGACTCTATCTTGTCTGCTGGTGACCAGTGGGAAGCATAGAGGGAGGCACATCAGTGTCTCCACGAACTGGGCAATCACACGGAGCCAGGCCGTGCTTCTCTAACTGTTATCTGCTCGTAGTCCCACGACATCAGGACTCCCAGGCACTATTGTTCACTTGTGAAAAGTCTTTTTTTATAGACTTTAACTGGACTAAAATTAGGTTCACTTAATATCCAAGAGGAAGTTATTAGGTTGAATGAGACTTTCAATACGTGATGAATTTTTTTCAGGTGATTTTTATCAGCTTAATTCTGAAGTAGTGCTATGTTATTTTATTGTATGAAATCTCAGGGTGTTTTGTTTTTCCTCCAGCATTTTTGTTGTTGTTGTTGTTGTTGTTTATTGTTGTTTTTTGGTGTTTTTGACACAGGATCTCCTTGTAGCTTCAGCTGGCCTGGAACTCACTGGCCTTGAACTCACAGAGATCTGCCTGCCTCTCTAATTTCTCTTTTTAAAAGATGTGTGTGTGTGTGTGTGTGTGTGTGTGTGTGTGTGTGTTTGGGTTTAAGTGCACCCATATCATGCAATGCTTAAGGAGACCAGAAGAAGGCATTGGATCTCCTGAAGTTGGAGTTAATGGTGGTTGTGAGATACCCGCTATAGTTGCTGAGAATCCAACCTGGGTCTTCTGGAAGAGAATCAAGGGTTCTAGTTATAAATTTTAGTTTATTTCTTTATTTTTATTTTGTATGTATGAGTGTTTTGCCTGCATGTATATAAGTGCACCTGTGTGTGCAACGCCCATGGAGGCCAGAAGAGGGCATTTGAACCCCCTGAAACTGGAGTTATGGATGGTTATCAGCCACCAAGTGGGTACTGGGAACTGAACCTGAGTACTCTACAAAAGCAGCCAGTGCTCTTAACCACAGAGCCACCTCTCCAGACTCTTAGATAATTTCTTGAAGGAGAATACTACTGTCAGAAGTAAGCAATTTTGAAAATTAAAATATGACTTTCTATGTTATTTTGAAAGCTTAAACCAGAGGATATTATCTAAGTAAAATTATGATACACTTAACCACTTAGTTTGAAATTTTTCCCTTTGTTTAATTGACTAATATTTTGTAGCATTTTTATGGTAACCACAGTTAATCAGCTATAACAATGGGGATTATTCATGATCCTTAAGGAATGAAATAAAGGGATTTGAACCTAATAGGATTTGTATGTTTTCATGTACTCAAGGAATATTAAAAATATTCCAAAGAAATGATTAAAACTTTGAGCAGCTTTAAATATATTACCTTTCAGTATCTGAATTTCTTAGTTTAGAAATCAGATGTTTTTTTATTAAGGCTGATTCGATGGTTTTTTGTTGTTGTTTTAATTTCCTTCAGGTAAAAGTGCAGTTTTAAAGTGTCTCCTGGATATTCACAAGATCTTTCAGGAAAACGACCCAGCATACATTCTGAATGATCTCTATGTCTCAGACTACTGTGTGTGGATTCAGAAGGCCAAGTAAGTTTTGTGTCACTGAGGCAATTCTTCCACATGTATGTTTGTGAAACATAGGAGGAGGAAGGAGGAAATCGCCTGGAGAAGCCTCAAAGTGGAGAAACCCATCTAACTCCCCAACTTCAGAAACAGCTACATTCTGAAGCAGGGGGATTGCCATGAGTTCCAGCCTAGTCTGGACTACATAGCAAGACCCTGTCCTGAAAACAAGAAAGAAATAGCTTCATTAACATGGAGAGTTTGGTGAACTTGCTTAAGGAAGTAGGTATAGGTGAGAAAAGTTAATTTTACTAGAAGAAATTAGTATTGGCATTATTTGCAGTATCGATATTTTTGCATTACTTCCTGTACTGCTGTGACAGAATACCTGGCAGAGTCTACTGAAAGGAGGAATGTTTTATCCTGGTTCACACATGAGGCTAGGGTTCTTCATGGCAGGGAAGGCATGGTGGCTGGGACTCATGTGGTGAGAGCTTGTGACATGACTTCTTCACTTCCTGCAGAGCAGGAGAAGTGAGACCAGGCTGGAACTCTCAAAGGTCCATCCCTAGTGGCCTCTGTCCAGAAGCCAGGCTCTGTGTTCCAAAGGTTCCACAACCTCCAAAACAGTGCTACTAGCTGGGAGCAAGTGATCAGATTCATGAGGCTGTGTGGACCTTCCATGTCAAACTCGAACAATATATCATACAGAAAGCTTAAAGTATTCATTGCCAAACTCTTAACTGCCTGACATGAAATCTCAGACGGGGTGCCTGAACCTGTATCTGTAGTTTATTTGTGGGGGGGCTGTATGTGTGACCCTGTAAACTTCCTAAGATTCAAATCTAATGCAAACGAGAGGTTTGTCTTTGTTGACTGTCCCTGACTAGCAAGTCCATGTTTCACAGTATAAGAAAAGACAACCTTCACAGCCTTAATAGCATTCCAGCACTCAGTATTTGAAATGTTCTTGATATGTAAAAGTACTTAGGCATTGCCTCAATTAAGGAAGCAGAATAGGTTAGCTATTAATTTAAAATGCAGTGAATTTTTATTTCATGAAGGAGTTCAGGAGATCTGCTCCTTACCAGCCACAGGCAAATGATCCACTTTAGTAGCAAGGGGATGTTTGCCAGGACAGAGAGCACTTGCTGAAATGTTCCTAGATGTTGTAGAACATGTACGTAGTATGGTATAGTATCATATCATAGCATAGTATCAGAACTGACTGAGAAGGGAAGGAATCACTGTGGCTTATTTGGTTGTTTTTGTTTTTTTGTTTTTGGGTTTTGTTGTTGTTGTTGTTGTTGTTGTTGTTGTTGTTTGAGACAGGGTCTCCCTGTAGCTCCAGGAGCCTGGAACCCGCTATGTAGACCAGGCTGGCCTTGAGCTCACAGAGATCCACCTGCCTCTGCATCTTGAGTGCTGGGATTAAAGGTGTAGACAACCACACCCTGCTCATCATGGCTTTATTATTACTGTGGCTGGCGTTTAATACCTCTTTGAATGAGCCATGATATGAAATTTATTTCTTATTTCTGTTCATGAGGAAGCAGTTGTATTAGAATACAGTATGAAAAATCTTGTGACTATACCTGTTACATAGAAAATGTTCAGGGATTGCTCAGGGTCACACCTAATAATATATACAGGAGATGGTGTCAGCATTTGTATTGGAAATCTACCAATGGTCTTACCAGATGAAAAATTGAATCTTTAACCCCTGAGGTCATGATAGCAGGCTATCACTTCATTTGATCCTCCTGTTAATTGAGCTTATCAGATACCCCACTGCCATTTCCTACTGTTGCTTTCATTTTCATAAAAATTTAAATAGAAACAGTCTCTCTGTGTGGGTGTTTTTTTGTTTTTCCTGAGGGCAGGGATTTTATAAGCGTACTGAGGTTTGTGCCAGGATCCCTTTCTGGGAATCTCAGTTTGTGAGCACAGAGGAGATCAGATTGCATTCAGGGTGCAGGTATTCACGCTGGTGTAGGGATTGTCAGGCTTACTTTCTCTACAGGTTTGGTTTAGTTTGGTTTTTTTAACTCAGTTTTAAGTCATGGGAAATGAAGCAGATTTTTAGATTCTTAGTGATTGATCTGATGGTAGTAGTATTTTTTTTTTTTTAAAGGATAACATAGTGGGAGAGTAGGATGGGAGAGCAACGCTCAAAGAAGCTCTTCAGATGACTTTGTTAAGTATTGTTTCTTCAACTTTACCAGTTTGAACGCAACACTATAACATTTCTTTCTCTGAATGGGCTGTGTTCTTTACTCTGATAAACTTACTAATAGCCCAGTATTTTTTTTCTTCTCCTCCTTTTAAATAACACATTTCTTCCTTTATCTAGCTTTTATTATGCTTTCTAATTTCATTCTTAGTTTTACAAGCATAGCTTGAGTGGACATTCTAATGTCCTTGCTGGGGACTGTCTAACCTTTAAATTAACCATACTGCAGTGTATATCTATGATTTTCTTAACTGTTTTTTCATCTTTTACTGTCTAATTTCATATAGTGAGTTAATGAAATCTACCACCTTATTTTTATGTTTTAAAATAGTTTATATTTTCTTTAGTCTACATTTGATGTTTTTGATTATAGTGATAAAAGCTGTATAAAATTTTATTGGAAATACCAGACAAGTATGAAATTCTGACTCGCACAAAAAACAGCATTCCATTTTCCAGTCAGACATTTACTTTGGCAAACATTGCTTGGAACACAGTCATTCTTATATTGAATTAATGAAGTTATGGCCACAATGAACATAAGATTTGCCTCGTGAGTTGTTTACTGTTCTCTGGTATCTGCAACTTGTGAAACATACAGCCTTGGATTCTTAGTGTGAGTTACAGAGTCTGCAGCTTATGTGTCTAAAAAACAAAAAGTATTCCTTGTTGCCCTTCACTGTTCGTGGCACTGCAGTTTTAAGTGTGGCATCCGCTGCGGCAGACTTTACTGGCGTCAACATGGGGACTGCTGAGGCACTTTGCTTGCAGTCATGGCTTAGAACAGATAAGCCTGTGGTAGTGTCATGTCTTATAAGCTCAGACAGTTTTCCGGATATACCACCTGTGCAACCAGTTGTGTTCATTCTGAGGATATGGAAGGCAACCAGAAAAAAAAGTTCTCCCTTCAGAGAACCTTTCCTGGAGAGCAGGAATTGAATGAACCGTTTATTTTGTTCCTGGATGTTCCCCTTACACTAGGTTGTAGATCACTACGCAGATTATCCCTTCCCCATCCTGGCAGCATCCAAGCCTTCCTCCCCGCTAAAACTTCAAGGATCTCAAGGGCTATGAGAAAGAGCTCCTATCCAGTAGTTCCTTGCGTGCACAGCAAATTTTAGTTGAGTTGAATGGGACCTATCAGCAATTGAAGGAGTATTTTCCATTGTTTAAAAAAAATGTAGCACTTGGAAAACTGTGAATTAGGGCTGGTAAAATGGCTCAGTGGGTAATTGCACTTGCTGCCAAACCTGATAACCTGAGTTTGATCCCTGGGACCCCCATAGTAGAAGTGGAGAACCAACTCCTACACATTATTATCAGACCTTCACATGTGTACCATGGCATGTATGTGCGTGTGCATGCATACACATGTGCACATGAATACATAAAGTGAGACTTTTTTAAAAAGCTGGGAATCAGCTCTAGCCTGTCTTTATTGAAATTTTCAGCTATATTCAGTATTGGATTTCTTCCTGTCTCTGATTTTTGTAATTAAAAAAATTTTTATGTCCAAAAAAAAAAGTTAAAAAAAAAAAAGCCAGTTGTGGTGGTGGTGCACTTCTTTAATCCTACCACGTGGGAAGCAGAGGCAGGTGGATCTTTGTGAATTCAAGGCCTGCTGGGGCTACAGGGAGACTGTCTCAAAAAGACCAAAAAAAAAAAAAGAAAGAAAAATTTATGTGTCTGTGTACATGAGTGCAGGTTCCCAAGGAGGCCAGAAACATTGAATACCCTGGAGCTGGAGTTCCAGGCAGTTGTGAGCCACCCAATGGTCTGCAAGAGCAGTATTGTGCTTAACCACTGCATCTTTCTAGCCAAGTTTTATTTATTTATTAAATAAGGAATTCCTCATTGTAAAATGAGGAGCGTGTATCCACCAAAGAAAATGTGTGGGTTTGGTATGGTGGTTTTGAGACAGGATCTCATGAAGTAGCCCAGGCAGGTTTCCACTTGGGATCCTTTTGCCTCAGTCTCCTTACTTGTGTAGATTATAGGCATGCTTTCCACATCCAGCTCAAAACTGTGTGGCTTTAATTCATGGTACATTTTGAAATGATAGGGAGCCATATAAGGTATTATTTTGGTTTTGCTGCATATACAGTTTTTTTGTTTGTTTGTTTGTTTTAAATCTGAGATCATGACTGTCTTCGGGGTAAATATCCAAGCTCATAACTAAAGTGTTGAATCACTTTATTTCACTGGTATAGTTTTTATTGTTTCAGTCTTTCATAGTGCTGGGGCTTATACCTTGCCCTGCATATGTAAGGCCAGCTCTCTGCCTCTTGGCTAAAGCTATAGCTCATCTAGCTTTGAAAGTAGGCGGTTGTGCAGAAAAAGAAGAAAAAAAAGTGTGTTTGAAGTGTTGGGTCTATTTTCATTTTATTGATAACTAATACTCTGGGTAAATTTAATTTTCTACTCCTTTTTAGTATATGCTCCCTGAAAAGCAATCTTATTCATGACCTCGTGAGCACTAAAGCCAAAAGTTTGTAGAAGGAAAGTTTTTCCTAAACACATTTCTCATTTGAGAAGTCCTAGACCTTCATTTTCGCCATGCTAAGTAAATCTAAGTGGATTCAGTGATGAGATCGTAAACCACTAGGACAGGTCAGACCTTCTTACTGCTCTGCCCAGCTCTGCTGCTTCCATGTGTGTGTGCTGTCCCAAGAACTACATGGGCACACGCTTGCTCTTGTTCCTGATATATCTGCTAGAAGGAGGGTATGGGGTTGACTCACAGGCAGAGGTGCAGCATCAGTATGGAGTACATTCATGAAGTGTTGTGGTC